GCAGCACTCTGATCAGGTGGTGAAAGAAGAGAAACAAGACTGTCCACGCTGTACTCTAAACATAGTCAAGCTGAAGAATTTAGAGTGTCTCTACTAAGAGCATAAGGGTAGCTCTTTTCACATAAAAGATCTCAGTTTATGGAGAAGATGAGTTTTCTTCCTGCTAATAACATTCTTAATGATGGCATGCAAAAAAGCTCCAACTAGCCTTTCTGCTGTAAAGACAACCTAGACCAGATATTTTTGGGTGTCTGGACTGCAGACCTACATTTTAGGCAAAGTTACCACTAATACTAGAAATGACCACCATCAGAAGGACAGGTTGGATAGCGTTATGGATGGTCTGTGTTGAAGAGGACACAAAATAAATTTTGTCTGTAAGGGTAAGCGATTCAAATGGATCAGTGAACATGTTTTGTGCAGTTATATCGGTGCAGTTATATCTATACTTTTGTGCAGTTATATCTATACTTCTGTGCTGCAGTAGAAATAACAGAAAGTTTACTTTTACACATCCAGTGCTATTATCTTATAATAGATGTCTTTTTTCTACACAGTCCAATATATATATATATATATATATGTCATTTGCAGATATTGCTTGTTGAGTTCTTTAAAGGTGGACCAGACCAAATATTGTTTCAAGACTTATGGAATGAAGAGAAGACATTTTTGGACAAAATAAAGGTAAACACACACATATATACAGACACACACACACACACACACCCACATACATACACATTGTACATACACACACATATAAATTGTATATACATTGTTTTCACACAAAGGCATTTAATTATACAGTATATATTTTGCGGAATTTGTTGATCCCTGTAACTAGCAAGGTGGAATTAAAATAATACAAAAAATAGTTAAGACATACCTGATGCGGCAAATGCAGGTCCGCCCTTTGGGGTGTTCGCACAGGACGCCATGTGGCCCTAAACAGCTCGTCCTCGCGGCGGCTTCTCTCCTTCTCACCGCTGGCCATCCGACTTGACAGTGCCCCCTGCTCCCAACCCTCTTTCAGGATGGCCGAGCGGCGAAGAGAGAGCAGCCGCTGTCATCCTGTCAGTTTCAGGATGACAGCGGCTGTGTGCGTGGCCAAGCGGAGGATCAGTAAATATCAGTGACATTTACCGATTCTCTGTGTGTGCGGAACAAACACTGGAGTGATCGTCTGATCACTCCAATGTTTTTAAATAACTGGGGACACATAGTACCCAGTTATTAATGAACAGGATGTGATTTACATCACTTCCTGTTCATTCATGAATTTCTGAATGGGGTGTAGCCCTCACTACAGAGGCTCCTCCCCATTCATAAACTTGTGATAGTAAAATATTTTACTATCAGCAGTTTCTGAATGAATGGGAAGCCTCTGTACTGAGTGCTTCCCATTCATTGAGTGCTGAGGCTGCAGAAAAAGAAATTGAGGAATTTGTGTCCTCAGTTTCTTTTCTATTTTAAAAGGGAAATGTCAGGGGTCTTAGACCCCCAATATTTCCCCGAAGCCCACCGAACAATAAAAAAAATTAAAAAAAATAAAAAGTGTAAAAAATTATTTTAAAAAAGTGAAAATTACCCCCCCATACACATATTATTAGACATGTGCAACGACTAAAAATTCATTTCAGATGAGATTGACGAAAAGTAAAAATGTTTTCATTCATTTCATCAAACAAAAAAATGTTATGCTATTTTGGATTCAGCCATTGGCGTGTTCTGGAGGCAGGGTGCATTACGTCATATAACACTACACGTGTTGGGCGTTGCCATCTTGGTGTATATCTAGGTATACACCAAGATGGCGGTGCAAGTACCGCTTCTAAGATGGTGGCACGCATTCGCAGAATGCGCCGGTGGCCAACATGGCCGCTGCACATTCTCAAACAAATTATTATGTGCCTGAATAAATTTTTCGTATATTGGGGCAAATAGTAATTCATTAATTTAATGTAGTCAGTGTCCTCTTTTTTATTTTTACTTTTCTAGATGCACTTACTTGAAAAAAGGGTTCTGTGTGACACTCTGATACTTTATTTTTATAGATTCTATTTTAGTTTGACATTTATAGTTTATCACTTGTTTGCCTACAATTGTTTTATTTAATAAGAATACTTATATTGTGCTTACAAGTTTAGTACCTTTAAATAAAAGTTTAATTTTTATCATACTTTTGAATATGTTTCTTTGGGGTTACCAAAATTGTAGTCTTTGAATAGTGCGGATATTGGAGAAATGGGTGTGGTTACTGAGGGGTGTGGTCACTGAGGGGCGCTGTAGAGCTTTCTCGCACAGGGCGCCTAAAGGCCTTAGGCCAGCCCTGGACAAATGGCTTACTGTTTGACATAACAGCCTTATACTTTAATTTTCACACACATGACTGCAAAGCCTCATTTCCATTTCTCCAGTTGTGCTAATGATAAACTGGCTTAGCTCATGCTTAAAGCATATTTATGGTCACAACTTTTTTTTCTTCTTCTTTGTTTTGTTTAGGGCAGAGTAAGGCAGGTATTTTGACTCCGATTGTTGTATTAGCAATTTATCCCTTGCTGAGACCTCTATGTCTGGCCTGTATAAGCAGATATAATCACCGTGGACAATCCTTATCAGATAGCTGAACTCACCAAATACATTTACATCTACAAAGCTCTTTATTGCATGCAGCAGGTTACAGCAGATGATTGAAAAGACGGTATTTGAAGGTTAAAGATGATAATGTTTGCAAGTGTAGCACCCTGCTAAAAGGAGTGCTATAAAATGTATCTGTAGGGGCGTGGCCTAGCAATGGAGCCGTAAAGCCGTGTCCGCTTTGAGCTCTGCTCCCGCTCGTATCCTAACAGCTCACTGACAGCCGCAATCCGTCCCTGATCCACATGTCTAGGGGGAGGAAATCGCACAAGACACCCAAATGACCCACCCGGCGCACCATTCCCGGGTATTTCTCTCCGGCAGCCCCAAACACCATGGCAGCCTCACCTCATAGCCCGGACCTGAGCGGCCATCTTGCGTCCCTCGAGGCGGGAGGGATGCGGACGCTGCGGTCAGGTAGGGAACGCTCCCCCCTCCTGGCGATCCGAACGGTGTGCGAGCAACCCCCCATGAGTCTGCCGATCCCAGACACGGCTCACCTGAGCCCTCTCTTCAGATGTCACCACTGCTGATGTCGGCACTGGGAGAGGATCTACGTGTGCTGTTACAATCACTGGCCACAAAGGAGGATATCGACCTGCTGGCACAACGTGTGGAGGGAACTCTGCATAAGGAGATAGAAACAGTCTCCCACAGAGTGACACAACTAGATGGCAGAGTGGCTGCTGCTGAGACCTCACATGATGGGCTGGCAGAGCGTGTGGCTGCTCTAGAGACAACAGCTGCGGCCCAAAACAGAGCATATGCCCTCCTCTACCTGAAGATGGATGATGGTGAGAACAGGAACCGCCGTAACAATGTGCGTCTGAGGGGCATACCTGAATCCACAACTGAGGTACACCTCAGATCTACGGTGCAGGCAATATTGAACCGCATGTTGGATCGTGATCCCCTGACGCTGATAGAGATGGACAGAGTACATCGGGTTCAAGGCCCACGAGGTGTGCGCCAGAACGCCCCTAGAGATGTCCTGTGTCGTATTCATTTTTTTGTCCAAAAGGAAGATATTATGAGGCAGGCATGGATCAAGAAGTCAGTGGAATTCGATGGAGTGGTAATTACTATCCTACCTGATCTCTCTAGACATACACTATTCCTCCGACGCCTGATTCGCCCGCTCCTTGAACGGATCTCCGTTAATCATCCAGAAAGCTGGAGTTACCTTCGTCCTGATGACGCCTAACAGCTACCTGACCTCTTCACCTTCCTGGAAACAGATCCCGTTGAGGTACCTGATTGGCTGCTGGTCCCTGCAGCCTCGCGATCCACACCTACTCTCGACACCGGCCCTCAACGATCACGATGGGGCCGATCACGCTACAGATCTAGGAGAGCCTCTAAAGTGGATTCCAGGGGCCCTACAGCCAACGAACCCTGAATGGTTTGTCAATTTAGTTTGCCCCCACCTTTTATTTTCTGACTCTAGGTTTCGCTGATTCTTTTTTTCTTTATAACATTTGGCTCTGGGTCGGTTGGATGGCCGAATCGAACAGTGCGGACTCTCACGTCAGGATTGCTCACCCTTGTGGCCTGATGGACGCCTTGATACCACGCCTGAAGCGTGTACTGCCTGCCCGACTGCTTTCTATTTTTCCACTCACAGGTTGGGTCTGGTGGGTGCCCCATCCCTGGAGTGACGTCGGCATAGACCCCCCTTCCCGGGCAGCAGTACCCCCCCCCCCCCC